CCTGGAAGTCACATAAGTGAATAACTCTTTTATCTGCTGTGGAGCTGTAACATGAACAGTGGCATCTGTATGCTTAAACCTGTACTGAACATAAAATTCTACCTTGTATGATAGAAACACGTGGCTCAGTCTTTGTTCTTCAGAAGGAATCCCAGCAATGACCACGCAGCTGATAGCCACATGTCTCACTGAAAGATCTTATGACACGTACACAGAAACAGCAGGTTTTTCTCCTTCCCTAGAGAGCAGTTGGTTTTAAGATCAAATATGACTGAATCCATCTTATTGCATGAGGTGAGTGGAGTGAGGCAGCACTTCCTTCAGGCGTGTCACGGTGCTGCTTTTTTGCTTTTGTACTCTTCTTCTGAAAGCATTAGGTCTACCTCTGTAGCTTAAGCAACCTGAAAAACATTCTATCATCAGATATGCGGGAGCTGTGGGATCTACTGTGCATCCCTTCATCCAGACAGTCCGTTGCAAAGCCCTGTGGAGAAGAGATAAAACTACGAGTTCTCCATAAAAGAAAGAGCAATATTCCTGTAAGAATTAATTCATTCTATCACAGGTGAAGCTTTTTCAAAGCCAAAGCCTGGCTGAGACCCAGCCCCTTAGTATTAGAAAGAAAAATGAAAAGCAATTAGATCAAAGCAGCAGATAAGTTTCACTTCAGCTCCCTCAGATGATTTACAGAGCAAACGAAAAACCGTATCAGCATCTTTCCAAGCTTAACTCTTCCAGATGCAACAACTGAACATTTTTGTCCTTTCTTTCTATTTAGCTCTACATCTGACTCGTTCGGTGAGAACAAAAGGAAACACAACACTGTTAGAGCACAAGGTGAAAAGAAACTTCTACCAGTGTCCTTTTATATACATGTAGATAAATCACACATGCCCTTACGGCCACCAGTAGTCCACCTGTAACTGGCAACGAAGTCTGAAAATCCAATTATGGCACAGTCTGGATGTGAATACAGATCTGTCAGTATTACCCAGAAGGGTTCCGCAATTTAGAAAAACAAATTTGAAAACACACTTCTTACTTGGCAGTAAAACCAAGAGCTGTTTGTGTGCCCAAACGTTTCAGTTCATCAGCAGAAAGCAGCTCCCAGCAGCCTCAGAAAGCTGTTATTCATTTATTTTTCTTACTCAGAGTTTTTTGGTGAAATGAAAACTAAAGTGGTAAACGAAACATTCTGTTTTAAGATAACTAAGAACACATTCTCTTGGTTAGATAAAACATTCCACTTCAACACAAAAAAAAACAAGAGAAAGAAAACAGCTTCAGTAAATAAAACAGACGGCTCAAATTGTTTAGGTATACATATTTATTTGTCATTTTACAGTGGCTTTAGTACTGTTTTACGGTAAGATTTTTGGAGAAAAAAAGCTTCAGAACAAGGCTTTAACTAGCACTTCAGAACTAGTTATTGGCAGCTTTCCTCATGGAATTCTAGTTTCCTTAGAAAAAGAATCAACAAACAAACAAACAAACAAAAAAACAACCAAGGAAGCATGACTGCTGTCCGTCCAACAAAAATACCTTCCATCATCCTGAAAACAAAGTCCAGCATGAGACAGAATAGTCACTGCACCGAAGGGAACATGTTCCTATTGCACGAGCATCAAGAACGAGATACGACAATCAAAGCCTGTCATAGGCAGAAGAGGCCACGTGTTTATAGAATCAGACTCCAAAGTACATCTTTCTTCTGAAATTACACACCGTATCATAACGAATATTAAGGCCATAAAATCAGAACATTGTGACAGGTGACAGGGCTTGATGCTACTCCGTGACATTTGGGAAAGGGGCTGCAAACAGGGCCCAAAGGGGACGGACAGAGCATTTTGAGGGTAGGTACAGCCTGAAGGCATTTCCTACAGAGTTCTCACAGAAAAGAGAGCTGGGGCTGGGGGGGGTTAAATAATTGGTAATGTCGGATTTCCTAACAAATCACTTGAGGAGCCTACCATTCCCTTTCACAGCATGTGTTCTGGAGCAAACCACAGAATACATTCTCTGGAATTTATACAAAAACAGTTCATTATTTCCATTTGTTCCATTTCTCTTTAAAATAGATGAAAAAAATCATGATCTCTCTAAGTTATCTTAAGGACCCAAGAAGGCTTCGCTGTACTGGGTACCTGCACACAAGCATCTCTGATTTGCCCTGACTGAGGTTTCTGGATGACACAACACTCCTGGAACCACCTGTGGGACACAGTATGCCCCAGAACTTAAATAACAGGATTGTAGTTATGTGTTGCTATCTTTTCTAATCATGTTCATTTAATTAGTGTATAAAACACTTGAAGCAATTGCTCCAAAGAAGCAGTAACTACCATGGAATTTTAAACACTTTAGGAAAATTTGGAAACCCGATGAAGCTGAAAATGCACATCAGTCATTTTATAAAGTTTGGTTTGCCAACGTTTAAGAAAAATATAAGTATCAAAAACAGACAAATACATTGCTAACCATCTGTTACATTTTCTTTTAAAAAATTAGCACCAATTTAAGCATCTGAATTCATAGAAAAGCTAGTGACACACACGGCTCTTCAAAAAAGTTATTCCCAATAGCAGACAAAATCATAGCGTGTGTAACAGGCATTAACCCAGCTTCATTATCACCAACAGACAGGACTACCGTTTCAGGTAGTGGGCATAAAACGTGGCTCTTACCTGATTGCTTTCTCCTCTGCTTTCGTTATCCTAGAAACTACGAAGTAAAGACACAGCCTGGGGAATGCACACGGGGGCACACACGTGAGCAGGCACAGCACAGAGCATCAGGCTGCTGGAGTGCTGCTGTGGGGGCTCTCCTCCTATGGTATCCATAGAGCAGGTATTACAGTGGAGTCCCAGTGGAAGCAGATGTTGCTGCCTCACACTGTATGCACATCTGGATTAGGATTAAGAGCCAAATGGTAATAGAAGATTTTTGCTTTAAGAAAAAATCCTAGTGCCCACAGCTAGCTGAGCTTTCTATAAAGCTAGAAATAAAGACTCTGCCATACTTCATACAACAGATGCCTGGGTAGTCACACTGCTGTTGAAGTCACCCTACACGCATTTATTTATGTAGGGAGATGTTTCTCAAATGATCTCTTACTACGTGTTAAATTTTAGCCCATAAAAAAATCTCTAATATTACATCTCTGAGAACAGCTTCAAATTTAAAGGAAAATGCTAATCAAATCTATCAGAATGGCAACCAAATTTAAATACATCAAATATTTTTACGTCATTCCTTCTTGCACTGTATACTGGTTTTATTTAGAAGAACCCTAAAGTGCTTCAAACCCAACAATTAACAAAGCTAATTTCTGTTGTGCAAAACTGCAAGCACCTTTTCAAAAAATAAGCAGCAGTATCAAGGAGTATAAACTTAAATAATTAGATGTATATTCTCTATTTTCTTTTGAATACTTGGACCAAAATAATTTGCCATATTTTCAGTAACAAACTGCAGAAGACTTTTATTTTCTTAACTGTATACTGGACTTGTTCTACATATATTCTTTGAAATAGCGGACCCAGGTAAATTCCCCTCCACAAAGCAAAGCTGTGGGATTAAAATCAACAACTGAAATTCGAGCTACAAAAATAGTCATTTATAAAACAAACAGAAACGCTGATCTCTTCACTTTCCTCCAACACAAATATGAGGAAAGATGGCTTACGTAAAACATCGGTTTAGCTCCAGACATTTTCAGCATGCGGTGGGCAAAATTAAAAGTGATTTGGTAAGCTGTGTAATAAGCTTTAAAAACACCACTATTAGTCACGTAATAGACAATCTAAGATACATGTAAGAGAATGAGCCAGAATACATTTTTTTTTCTGTCATACTTTGAACGTGTTAAAAAAAAATTGAAGACACAGTGGCAAAGCAAAGTTACTGGATTCACCTATAGGATCTTCAGTCCAAATTCTGCATCTGGGTGCACATATCCCCAGAGCAAAACCAGTTTTGAGCAGGAATTACACAGCACACATCCCAGGAAAGAATTTGGCTCCCAGCATACAGCATCACTAAGTTTAGCATCAAGCCCTGATAGAATCCATGTGACATACGTAGAACACACAGACAAAGGCTGTTCAGCAGTTACCCCCTGCACTCTGGTACTGCCATTTCAAGAGTCACAGTTCAAATGAAATGCTCCAGACAAAACCGAGCCCGTGTTCAGAACCAGCACTGTGCTCAGGAAAGATTTGTCTGCACCTCAACAGCTCAATTCCAGCACACGCTGCCCAAGGGGACTGCACTGCTGCCCAAAGCAGCACGGCCTGCTTGGGGACTCAGCAGCTCACTTTTATGCTGAATGTCCAAATCTCACTTCGTTTGTCAAATGGTAATTTTAAGCCAAACAGAAACCGATCCAGTACTTCAATTTAGCATTTGAGGTCCTTCCTTTAGGTCAGAAAAATAAAACATGCGGTATTACATTATTTTTTTCCCCTCCCACTTAATTTTGAATAAACATATATATACTCTGTTAGGACTTAAAGAGACAAAAGCCCTCTGGTCCTGAACAGGTTGGAAACTTACCAACAAATTAGTTAATTATGAGTTTAGGTTGGGTTTCATTTTCATTATTTTGACAACACAAACCCCTGCAGGAAAGAACACAAAGCCCCAAAAGCTGTTTGCAAACACTGGTTCCAGTTGGACTTGCTTGTTGTGTATGCTCTGTGCAGACAAAGCCCTCATTTTAACATTTGCTTCTTGTGTTTTTGGCGTTTTCAATTAAAATAAACACAATTTCTCATACCATACCATTTCCTCAAAGCGCACTTACAGGTTTCAAAATGCCAGGGTTCTCTTTCTAAGGGTTTTGGGTTTTTTTCTTTTTGAGGAAAAACAATATGAGCACAGATAAACCTTTAAAACATACTCCATTTCTGCAATGCCAGTCAGCTACTCAGTGTTCATACATCTATCAAGGTTTCTGATAAAGAATCTGATTAATAGCCATAGAGCCATAGATTCTCTTTTTTTTTTTTTTTTCTCTTCAGGTGAGCAGTTAAGATTACAGATTGCATCTATGTTGACCACCACTTATTTTTAGTTGTATTTCATAAATTGCTTATGTTCACTGCAGTAGTGTTAACACTAAACAAAGTCTCTCATATAGAAAGGTAACATTTGTGTTTACAAAACTGAGCAGGTTTCTATTATATATATGCATATGCATAGACACATTCTTAATCTTTAAATACACATAAATATTTATAAATGTCAAAGTGCAAAAAAAATGGTCAATTGCATCACTTTACATACATGACTTTAGTATTAGGAATAAAAGTGATTATATTGCACACCAAACTCTCTATACTTTCAAACCCCTGTGAAGTTACATGTGCATTTTGCTTTCCACCAGTGATGGGATCTCCCAGCATCCACAACCATTACACAGATGTGGCACCAAACTTAACCTGCAGCCAGGAATACAACCACATGTAAAGCCTGCATGCAGTGCATGTACAGTCTGTATGTGCACAATGGAACAGCATGGGAACTTCAGCATGCATCTATTCTGCATGTGTTTTGCTGAATATAATCTGCTTATCTGCCTTCTCTGAGAACTGGATGTTTATTCAGGTTCTTAGCAGTTTTCAATTATTCTGGAAATCCACAATACTCATAGACTTTTCATCTCATGCATACTCCATAGGCAATGATGTTTTGGTAGAATTTAGAAGCTGCACATTGTGCGACAGCAAGAAGCCATTATGAACATAAGGTATGGAATCGCTTTTCTTACAGGAAGATTCACAAAAAAGCTCAGTCTCAGGGCTTATTTTGCTCAAAACAACATGTGAGATAACAGTATATACCAGGAGAAGGTCAGATATCAGTTCACATCATGCAGATAGGGCTGTTCTGTGTTCAAAACCAAACAACAACATTAAAAAACTACTTGAATAATCACAGAGTCATTTGGGTTGGAAGAGACCTGGAGGCCATCTGGTATCTAAATGACACGAAAAATCTTTGTTGCATTGAACCTTCTGAAACAGTAAAGGTTAAAATGAAGACTGCAGTACAGTGCAACTTCAGTTGAAAATGCTAAAAATAAATCTTGAATAATAAACTCCATAAGATTACTGCCATAGTGAATCAAGAACATCAAAATGCACGGTGGTGACTTCTACAGAGGGCTCTGGCGTAAAGTAGGAAGAGACATAGTCAGTTACTAGGCAGGTAAATGGGACAGATTTGCTCTGCAGTTGTTAGAGCAGGAGATTAATAAACTGCTGGAGATCTTTGTCCCTCACGTTCATGCAAACAAAAAAGCTTTTTCATCAAGTGTAACATGAAATGTATAAAATGCTGTATTCTACCACTCCTCAAGACTTCAGACAGCCTTCTAAGAAAGGAAGGCAGAAACTACAGATGACCAATGTGAGATTGTTGATTGTTCACAGGATGCTGTTTTTGAAGAGAATGCTAAACTTGTATTGTCAGGAAAGCCACCCCTTTATAAAGAACTACTGGCTTAACACCATTATGTCACTGGTAACTTCTGAAAACATTATTAGAAACAATCAGTAAAGCATAGTTAACTTCTGAAATTCAACTATTAGCTTCTCTGTTGTTTTTTTGTTTTTTGTTTTTTTTTTTCTTTTGCTTGTTTTTAGTCTCATTCCATAGTGGTTGCAGCTTTTGATGGGCTAAAGAGGAAGGGAACAAAACCACAGCTAGTCTGAAATCACTAACGGCAATTTTCAATAGGTGTCTTTAATAATTTTAACTTACACATATGACAGTGATTAAAAAAATACAAAAGAACAGCAACATGTACTGTATTGCTGTACAGTAGTAGCTATTTTAGATATATTTTTTTTTGTCAGTGACAAAAATGCACTAAAAATATTCCATATATATCATCAGTATCCAAAGAAACTGGTTTTAAACCAAACAGCTAAAAACCCAAGCCCTCAATGTCCTACAACTCAGATTTCTTTAATCATAATTCCAGATAAACATTCTCAAGTTAACATAATAGCATTGCATTGCATTTCTCTTTTCTGGGACAGCAAAATCTCAGTATTTTTGCTACACCAAATTAAGCTATTTAAAACCTTGTAGGTACAATTTGTAACATGAAAGCAACGTCTGCATTAGAAAAAACTGCTGCTTTCAAATCCTAAGGTCAGAAACAAGAGTCAGTTCTCTTCCACAAGAGTGTACTACACATCTCCATAACGCAGCAGCTCGCTATGCCAGCACATTCTGTAAGTTCTCTGTATATATTCAGGTCAGCAGTATCTGGATCATCAGCTGAATACAGTGCCTTTAAGAAAGTGGTGTTTTACCTTGTCTTGCACATCTCTGTCGCTGTCACAGTCATACAGGTTTATCTCAAACACTCGCACACACACACACACAAAATCCTTTAGCAAAACTTCACACAACTGCGTACTGCTCTGAAGGGATGTGCACACATTCACAGGTGTGCAGTACCTGGTAATTCAAGCCCTACTCTATCACAAACATTTTCTAAGAATGTAACATTGCACAGATGGTGTCTGTGTTAATTCAGTCCTGAAAACTGCATTGAAAAGTGTGTTGGAACAGAAATAATCTCCTCTGACACCGTATTTAGAAAATGTACGTATTAAATATATTATGTTTTCCTCTCCCAGTAAAAATAGAGAGGATTTCTTAATTTGGAACTACAGCTAAGTTCTGTTCAGTAAATAATTAATTGACAAATGACTCAAAGCTACTATATTTTTATTTTTTTAATTACTCACTAGATAGAATGGACCCATTTAAAAAAATGGAAAACATTTATGCAGCTCTTTTTCAGGCCACTTAGACTGCAAGTCTCTCCAATTCACCTGTCACTGAATGAAGAGCATCACATATGTAATTTCCTTTTCTGTTTCAGTTAAAGGATCAGTATCACGAGCTAAAAAAATACAAAACAATTTAGAACTCTGCCCTCCTTTAAACAGGCACAGCCTCACAAATGTCACCCATCCTTCCTTAAGATTGAACTAAGCCACTGTATCTTCCATCCATGTTTAAATAACTAGAAAAGAGTCAGATATTCATTGATGAAATATGAAGGTATGGCTATACTCTTTCAACACTGTGTTTTTCTCTTCTACAAGAAGATAGAACCATTGGGAAGCGAAGATAGAAAGGGCTCAAAAAAGTGCTATATGGAAAAGTAACTGCCCTTTAAACACAGTACTGAGAGTGTTCAACATGCGAGTTAACACTTACACACAACACTCCAGTCGTTAAATAATGCACACTGCCATAGTCACACATTAAAACAAACTTCATAGACACTGTACATTCAAAAAACCTACAAATGAGCAATACTGTACTAAAATGTAAACAACCATTGATGTCACAAAAGCCTGCCAGTTAGGACTGAAGATGCATGAACTCACTCAAGAGAAGTTATTGGCTAGAAGTCTATTATAACTGCTCACCTGAAATAGGCTGAAACAAAGAAAAGCCTGTAATAGTGTCTGAACTTTTTTTTTTTTTTTGCTCCTTAGACATTGATTTGCTTTCATTCTACAACATTAAGCAGGCAGTTTCATAACAACTGAGTAAACATAAAAACAGGCATTACTTTAGCAGAACATGCAGAACATGGAGTTTTTCTACTTTGTTCCATTAACTTACAAGCAATTCAGGCCCAATGGAAGCAAGAGTTCTTTTCCAAAGATAAGTCTGCAATCCTGGCTGATCATCGGCATCCTTCGAGGGGTCCTGTCAAGGCATCGAGGCTGCTGTCTGTATCTGAAGCCAATGTTTGCTCTGTTGACATGGATGAAATGTCATTGATAGATGATGACTGGGAAGGACTGGTGTTGCTATTCACTGCTGCATCTGTGCTAAGTAAACCAAACATAATAAAATCTGAGGCAAGACAATATTGCAAGCATAAATAACCACACTTCAAGGCTCTGAGCACATCATTTTCCTCAGAGAAATTCTTAGAGAACAGGCAAATCATTAAACAGTAGAAATGCAAGCACTAAGTTTCCTAACACTTAAACCTAGAACAACATTCCAATTATTGAACCAAGACAACAGCAGCAAACATCAACTGCAGGCAGAAATACTTCATGCTATTAGCTGCCTTAAAATAAAAAGCTCTAAAAATGTTTGAATGTGCATGAAAGGTACACATTCATTCAAAGCCAAGAGAAAGCATTCAGCATAAAATACATCTGCACAACAGCTGATATAAGATGGCATCAATTATTGCAGCTTATGAGGGAGCCTTCTGGGGAGAAGACAGTTCAGTGCGTTGGATATCCAGGACTTAAGACTTGTTTTCATACAACTCATTTCATAACAACGGAAAATTACTGCCCACGGAACAGAATCTTTGTCTATAACAACAGAACTTTTGCCTACCTGTATTAAGTAGGATTTTTTTCATTCCTTTAGTCCAACAGATCACTCTATGCAGCATAATGTTATAGAAGAACTACTGAAACGATGACTAACCTGAGGGCTGATCTTTTACCACACCATTCTTGCTTCTTTCTTCCCAATCCATTACTTCTTTGTATATTAATTCTTATAAGGTAGGTGGAATAAGAGAAGAGACAGAAAAAACATTGTTAAGATCACAAGGGATTTAAGTACTATTTACAAACGCATAAAGCTACAATTAAATAGTTACAGGTCAGTCTGTAAGTACCACTATATGGGTCAGAACTAGACTTAGGACACAGCACCTGAATAAAATATCACAGACTTCTAAATGTAACAAAGATCCATTATGTTGTTTTGGTTCTATATGGTATGGTACATGCAGGACGGCTCACTCTCAACTCTTTTAGAGGTTAAGACTTAATACTGCAGAGCATACATACACACATACACATTTATTCCAAACAGAATATTTCTCCATTATAAATTTATTTTCATATTACTATAAGCAGTACTGCATATTTTGAACATGTTCCAGTCAGTTACACAATCCAGCACACACACGACAAGAACACGCAGCTCACAGTACAAGTTATTACAATGAATGTCATTGCTCATGCTCCCTTCTTACCTTTCCATTCTTCAATTGCATGTTCTCTCTCTTCCAGTTGCGCATCGTAAATTTGAGGTGGAGGCTACAAAGAAAAGTCAGTCTGCATGTTACCTATTGCACTGCAGGCAAAACTAAAAATGATTTTCTTAGCCAATGGTTACCTTCCTCTGGCAGTCTATTCCCTACATCTCTAATTTACATTCATTTTACACCTCCAGAATTTAGGTTCTGCCACCCACTGATATGCTGTTTAAAAGCATCAGCTAAAAATGAACTTTTGTGAGGTTTGGCAGGGCCTCAGACGAAACCCACTACCCAAAATACAGCAGATTATCACCCTGCAGGCAACACTTTCCACAAAGGAAGCTATCTTTCTTTCTACAACCACTTTCAAAACTGTATCAATTCCACTTCACCAACAGCTCTTCAGGTGGAAGCACCCTGAATGTTAATCTGAATTGCTTATGTGCATCTCTCAATAACCAAAAAATGAGTTCAAAGCACGCGCTTGGATCCAAACTAAAGTTATCCTTCAAAACTATTGAACTGATATCTTAAAATTTATTTTAAATGCGAACTTACAGCTTCTGCTTCAGCTGGATCATACCAGACAGTAATATAGGGATGACGTAAGGCCTCATCTACGGAAATTCTCTTGTCTGGATCTACTACAAGCATTTTTGATAATAAATCTCTAGCTTGACTGGCTAGAAAGTAAAAATGAAAAAGAACATACGTGTAAGGAGCTGTAGATTTTAAACATCTGACAAAGCATACACAAACAGATCTCCTAAGCTTCTATGCCTCCCAACAAGTTCCATTTGTTAGTGACATGCGAATACTTAACTTCTAATCCTGTGGAGTTAAATAGGTCTCACTGAGCACTGTTTTTAAATCAGCAGTGTAGGACTGGAGCTCCACATCTTGCTCAATACCCTGGCATTAGGCTGCACTGCCAGGAAAGGCACAGAGATGGCAGCTTTCCTACGCTGCTGCAGATTTCCTTCAAAAGGAGGTCACAATCCTCTAATGTCAATGTTATTTTACTGTAATCCAAAACATAAACCCTGCAGCTGACATAAACCAATCTCAATTTTGAACAGTTGTGTTGCTGCATAGGTCACAGTTTGCCATCAACTACTGCTCACAAACCAGATTTTAAAGTGCACAGTAAATGGCTACTCGTCGCAGTGCCATCTGACTGACAGTTTTTTTGTCTCAACTAAAATGCAGTATAATAAAATAACTTGGTGTAGCCTATTTTGTATAAAAGCTTATGTCTGTCCATAGGATAGATTTTTTCAACTTTTTTGGTCATTTATCTAAAGTGCAGGTACAGCTGACATGAATTACATTCCCATATGAACCAGAAAAATACAAATAACTTCAATGAGTACTACTTTCTGAAACATTTCAGCCACAAACATTATTCAACACATTCGAATGGAGTGAATTAAACAGAACAGTGAAATATCTTTGTATTTCTGAACTAATACTGAAAAATCAGAATCTGTCATACATGAAAAAACTGCAGGTATGGAACTTAAGTCAACACCTACTGCAATATAGATATTTTATATTAGGTTTTTTGTTTTTTTTTTTTTTAATTAAATGTATTGCAAACAGTGTATTTTAAATTAACACCTTCAGAAGAAGAAAAAAAATCTGTCTTACTTTTTAACTTGTCACGGTCTGATTCTGATGGAAATATCCAGTCTGGAAAGAGCTCTTCAAATTTAATACCTGGATATTTTGGCCTGTTTTCTACATAATTCCTCACTGTAGGCTGTAGTTTCTTCATGAATTCTGCTGAGGGCGTTCCTAGTTGTTCAATTACTTTATTCCATTGATCAATATCTGCACCATATCTTTAGGAAAATCAGCTGCAGAATTTGAAGTCTGCGCTACACAAAAACATCGCTTACAGAAATCTGAAAAGCTGAAAACCTGAACTAATAACAAAACAAGAACTTCAACAACATTCCAGAACCGCTACGCAAAAAGCTGCACTGGCAAAAATCTAAAATGTCAGTTTTGTAAGATAGGGACAGACAAGAAATGCTGCACAACTTACAGGCTTCAATATCTTCAGTGAATTTGTACCTATTGGCCAGTTTCGAAAACATGACTTATGAAGAGTTAAAATGAAGCTTCACTCTGTAATTATGCCCATAACATAACAACTATGGGACAGAAAAGAAAGAAAAAGAAAGGCTGCTGGTGTATCATCTGCTGTACACCTAACAGTACCATGTGGAAGATTTTTGATGGTAGGGAAAAATACATAAAAGAATACATAAAACGTGGTATTTCTTCTACGTACTTCTAAGTATCAACAATGCTAATACAGTAAGTTTACTCAGATCAACACTATGCATTTTTGCTGATGAAAGGAATGGGCAGTTCTAGCAATCTAACTACAAACCTTGCAAACGTATCTGAACTCAGAATCTTTTATTGCAAACTACTGATTCTCATAGCAATTTCTTAACAAGACACATCTACTGCACTTTGAATTATAGTTAAAAAACACTACCGTTTAAGAAGCACTTACTTTGGTTAGCATGCCAAAAATACATCCAGAAATATGCTTCCCACTAAAGCTTTAGCCTTCTGATGCAAAGATTAAAAATGGTATCTGCTTATTCAATACATTCCAATGGAAACACAATATTAAATTAAGAATTAAGAAGTCAGTATTATTAACTCTCATGCTAAAACAGAGCACACACAAAGCAAGTTTTGACACACGCCAGGAAATTTTGTTGGAAAAGTAATTTGTGCAAGAACTCCACCAATCCAGATTCAAGAAAAGGTTGATGATTTGAGTGGCAGCAGCACAGAACACCAGCTAGCCAAATTCAAGGGCATTCTGTGGTGGTTTGGGGGTGGGGGATCTACTCCACTTCAGTAATAAAAATGTGGGAGAAAAAACTGAAACAATATTTTCCCCAACATAGGTTGGATATGAAATAAGCTATGCCTGTTATCAGAAACCCAATCAGGAAAAAATCTTAATGCTGATGCAAAGCATGCAGTGTCCCTCTGAATAACCTTGCAGTCTGCAGACAAAATTACCCTTTCTGTTCAACTAATGACCTGGAGGTCAAAAGTAATCCAGAACCTTGAGTCCATAGCAGAGTGTCTGTCTGCTTTGTGAGACTCTGCAAGAAAATGTTGAAAACAGAGTCCTTATTATAATCAATTAATAATAAAGCATGACTTTTCCCAAGAAATCATGACTATGCTCAGGCAGGCAGGCAGTTTCCTTCACCTCCTACATAGAAGAGCACTGAAAACATTCTCTGGTGCCTCCAGGTTTTCCATTACTTCATCTCCAGTATCTATGCTGGGTGTTTTTTCTACATTTCTCATCTCTAGTGCAACAGCAACTGCCAGCCTCTCAGCTCAGGCTATGGCCAGGAGCAGCTTCAGCCCATCCTCCAGCCTGATGGTGTGGAGCATCTCAGCCCAAGCAGGGCTCTGCTGCAACTCTCCAAGAAATCCCTGCTGACCACACAGCAGTGTACAAACTACTGGATCCGAGAGCAGGTTCTCCTGAAGATGGCCACAGGCACATTGTTAGGCAATACAATGAACTTGGTTCCTTGATCTAAATACCAAAGCACTAGGACGTATCAAAATTTAATTAAAAAAAGGAAAATCCCAAGGCCATGCACAGCAGCTTCCATCCCCCTTAACCCACGTAAACAGAGAACAGACTTGTGGCTGCAGCTAGAAGAAAATGATAATTGCAATTATTCTAGACTGATAACTGCAAAAGAGTGATAACAACAACATGACTTATCTGTCAGTACCTCACATTAAAGGGAACTGAAAGACTCAGAAGGAAAAAACCCTAAGCACAGCCATGCATTTTGGTAAGATAGAGGGACAGACTCTTTGAAATATGGACTGGTGGAGCTTCAATGACCTCCAGTGAACTACAAATGGTAACTTGCATATTCAATGAACACAGACAAAATTTCCTTCCTTTTTCATGAACAAACCAAAATAGTCCATGCTGACATGCAGGTGAAAGACACGTAACATATATGAAGAATTGTGTTAGGTTGGTCTGAAGGCTTTAAAAGGTAAAACAATATAGAAAGGAAGAAAGGTAGAAAACAGACTTATTTAACAATCATTTATGCAACTAACTGATAAACGATCAACTGCTGAAGATTAGTGTCATGAAACTTTAAATTTAAAATAGCCTCTACAAAACATCTATCTATGAAAAGATTTTAGGAACATATACTTGTTATTCTAAGTGGTGGAGCCAGCTTTTCCTTGCTGACAAGCAGAAATATTATACGACGTATTATTTCAATATCTTGGACCACAGGTCCTTTGGTTTCGTGTGCCTTACGGCCAGGAGGGGCAATCATGGTTTAATTGTATCTCTGCATTCTCTTTACTTACTGATCAATTTGGAATATCTTGCCCTAGAACACTGCTACTATGCAAGACTATTTTTTTTTTTTTATAATGGATGAAATTGGTTTAAATCCAAGTTTTCCTCTCACTGGAACTTGATAATGTGTCCACTGTTTTAATTTCTTTTTCTAGGAAATACTTTTAAACACATACAATTATTTGAAGAATATGCATTTGATTAAATGTTCATTTCTATTCACCTCACAAAGTGTAAATGCTTCTTTCTGATCCAGTAATACGTTATTGAGATTTCCCAAGTCTAAGGGCATGAGGGCATAAAGATTTCTATTTCTAATACAGAAGGGTTCCCACAATTTCTATCATGTAAGCAAGTACAATTCCGTGAAGACAAACTTGGGTCAAAAATACTGGAGGGGAAAGTGAAAGAATGATAATCTTAGAGAAAAAGTAAGTCCAAAATAAAGTTTTCATAAAATGATAACAAAAATTTAAAAAAAAAAATTGTTTTTCTATTAAATCATAATAGTAAGAAAAAGAGATTTCATGCAGTGTGCTTGCAATTAGCACTCACTGGACAGCAGCATCCTAATGAGTGAGAAAAAAAAGTCGGGTTGAAACTCAAAAAACTCGGACGTTAAAAAATAAGTCGAACAAAATAGGAAGCAAAACCCATGCACAGTGAATGCTAACTTTGTAGATTCCTGCTTCTAACACTTATCTACTAAGAACAACAGTAAGAAAAAACAGATAATGCTTTCTTTTTTTCTTTAACCTACCTGCATTCTATTAAAGATAAAAAAGCTGAAGCTCTTAGTATAAATTCTACAGATTCAATCAGTACAAATTACAATAAATATAGTCTGCTAAGAAGATAAAATAGGAAGCTCAACAATTTGGTCAATGACACTAATTTCATAGCTTACAGTAGATCTACTAAAACATGACTGAAAACAGTGCTTTACGTTTTTATACAGATCAAAATATGTTTCTGTTGGGAGTGGAATGGGGTTCAAGGATGATTAGGGAAGGATACGATCAGTGCCTTGGAATATCACACAACCTTTCACCAATTCTCCCATGATGCAACCAACTGACCAGATATCAACTGAAAGTAAAAATGAAATGATCAAATTATGAAGTATCATGAACAAAAGTGAGGAAAACAAACAAACAAAATGAAGACATCTAGCATCTACAATAAAACACAACGATGTGGAAAACCAAACTGCTAACACGAATTTTCAATCATTTCAATGCCAACTAATTAAACTGTTGCTAAATTTTGTTTTCAGCATTTTGTAAAATATAATCAGCAATTACACTACTGAAACGACCGTGAAGAAGGATACAATCTCTTCCTGGGAACAGGACTTTATGGAGGACCATTTCTGCCATAATGCACCCAACAGACCAGATATCCACTATCATATGTTAGGTGTAACAAGGACAAAAGATTAAAGAGGTTTTTTAAATATCAGAATTATTTATTTGTAAATTCATACTGCTTATTTATAGTCGTGCAGATAAGTATTTTTGTCCCATCCAGAACTGCCTCCAGAGATGCTCTCATCCACGTGAGCACTTGCAGTAGAACAAGTGCCACGTGCACCAATGTAAATGTTTCAGTGGCTCAGCAAGGTCCTGCGAGTCCCTTTTTTCACACAGCTAAAGTTATAAACAGCAAAGTATCCCCAAGCCCCAGTAAAAAACCAAAAAGATGTACTAGGTTAGAAGACCAGAGGAGGCAGAATGTTACTTCACAGCTAGAAAATATCAGCAAGTAAAACAGTAATGTGGGTCAAGGACAGTTTCCTTGCCAGTAGTTTTGTTGGCTGAATGTTCAATATATTAAAGCCAGTATATATATAGTACAACACCCAGCCTCTTTAAGTGCTATTTATATAGATTTAGGAGAATAAACTACATGGTTTATTGGAGAATCTGAAATAGATTTTCAATGAAGTCATCACAGACACTGAGGGGACAGACTTAAAATATGCTTCACAGTAAAAATCACAGTGATAAAAAGGTTTATTATTTATACACTGATCGTTGGTTAGTTGGTTTTCTAAAACATCATGCAGCATAGGTATCTCATAGATCGGTAAGATAAAGAAAATGGCAACAGGACAACAGAGGAAAAGGCAAGACAGCAGGGAAGCAGAAACAGTACATGCTAAATGGAGATATGGATACAGTAGAAAACTCCTATTCTCCACAAAATACTTATTGTACATTTTATGTTTTAATAATCTCAGTAACATGATTAGCATTAAAAATAGACATAGCAGAGGGAAATTAGCTCTGTCCCAGTCTTTTAAAGCTATTACGTTTGGAGACACATGCTTTAGACAAACAATTTAAAGCATTACTCCAGTAACTTACCATTCTCTTTATATCCCATTCCAAGGATAACCTCTGGCGCTCTGTAATATCGTGTTACTACATATGGAGTCATCATAAAATTAGTACACGCTGTTCTTGCCAGTCCAAAATCAAGGATTTTGAGTGTACAGTCTGATTTTACTACTATGTTGCTGGGTTTCAAATCCTAACAAGAAATTAGTGCAGTTAAGGAAGGATCTACATACTGAACAACACCCCCCCCTTGAAGTCAGTAACGCCACCAGTTCACCTCACAGTAGCAGTTTTACATTCATTTACATTCACAGGAATTTGAATTACAGATGTACATTTTGACTCTGTTGAAGTATATGACGTGGTTTCAACCACATGAATTATGCTTTCAGGTGCAGAACTTCCTTTTCTTAAGAGAGGCAGTGACATGCAAATAGGAAAGCAACAACTTTTTGCAGAATGGTATTGAATCAACTCACTTGCATTTTCTAATCTTCTGTACAGACTTTTCTCTTGAAATAACTGAATAATTATTTACAGTAGTTGGCAGTGAAATTTGTTATCTCATCTTGTTATAATGCTGGGCCATGTGAAGCATATCAGATTTCAATATTCATCTATTAATAACAGAGGTTGGTGTCACATACATTATTTCAAGCTGTGTTTAGTCACAGACTCTTTTAAGTCATCTCTAGACATATTCCTTTGAGCTAGCCAAGTTCTGTCCCTTTCCTAGCCGATTTCTTGTCTAATCCAGAATTTCCACTCAATCTTGACAGGCCTTTTTGCTTTGTTCCCAGAGTAACCCAACACTTTAGCCTCTCTATTTAAATAAACTTCCTGCCTTTGTTTAGCTATTAGTTTGGTTAGCTTGGTTCCACCAATGGCTCATTTCCATGTTCAACCAGCATCAGTTCTGTCCAGCTGCTCTGTTAGCTCCAATGACTTCAAATTTCTCAGCAAACATTTTGTCTCCCCTTTAGTTCTAAATCACAGCCAACAAGTCAGGTGGAGTTCAGCTGGAGTTCCAGCTCCCTCCCTTCAATGTTACATGTTAACTACACACAATGGTAGATTTTTTTCAGCGAGGCAAAGAAGATTTGTTGCAATTTACCCAGGTTCTCAATTATGTTTATGGACTGAACGTGAAGGAAAAAAGCATATTAGACTAGAAGCTGACTGAATTTTTCAACTACCAGGGAAAACAGATTTAAAAGATGTGTCCAGGAAATAGGAGAAAAGAAGAACAGGAAAGGAACAAAAAAAAAGAAGTATGACTGTCAGGTAGACTGACTGGTCATGGAAAACACGAAGAGCAGCTGCAGGAAACCAGAATCAGAGTTGCATGAAATATGCTCAGGACTTTTAAGTTCTGAACAACCATTTGGTAATATAACTTATAAAAGTCTAATATTAAATTTGAAAGACTCATTCTTTAGTAATTTGGAAGGTATGCAGTTGCTCATGTTTTATGACTTGATCAGCATCACTTAAATCTATAGAACCGATCTGTTTTGAGATCTGTTAACAATACATTGGTCTTCGTCTTCAAATCTGAAAATCTCCAGGTTTAATAACAGTATGAACAAAAGAACTATAAACATACAAAAGAGCAATTCCCTGCCAACCCCTCAGGTTCATAAGAATATCTGTGTTCATAAAGAATATCAGTAATGATCTAATACTACCTACTCTGTGGATGATACCAGCTGAGTGGAGATGTTTGATACCACATAGCATCTGGTAAAGGAGATAAGACATTCTTTCATGATCCAATTCCATATGAATAACTTGGCACAAGTTGGCATCCATCAGCTCCATAACCAAATATCTGAAGCATGAGAAAACATTCTTATAAACTGTAAGAACATTAAGAAAACTTATGATTTTAAGAAAAGATCATGCATTAACACAATTTCAAAATTAGGGTCATTCACTGGAACTTATGACTACCCCAAAATTAAATCACCATGGATAAGAGGTAAATAACTATTTCCCACTTCCATTTTATGTCTGTAGTGAAACAACTTTATCTCTGAATTTATTTCAGAAGCGTCAAGAAAGACTAACTAAAGCTTAAACTTAGACTTTAGTTACTCTCTACTCAGCATAAAGACTGTAAGACACTGGAGCTATGCTGCTACGGCTTAGATGAACATTTGTCAGGAAAACTGCAATAAAAGTCTAGTACTTACACATCCTGAAATTCTTCTAGTGACTTCTGCGGTGTAAATACGTTTAATAAACTAATTATCTATAAAGAAAAAACAAGATTCAGCTTTAATTCAAATAAAAACCCAATTATTACATAAATTATTATTCAAAGCCAAACACATACTGGTACTAAACACAATTTAATATTACTTGGTTTCACTTAACTCACTCACACTGTAGAACTGTTGTTTCAAATACAGTTGAAAACTGCAGCACGTGTGCTGAAGGGACTAAAACAGGGCACAGGCTTTTTTTTTCCCTCCAAGTTATATGACACCCATGTCCTTCCTCAGTACCTGAAATGTATTCCTTTTGTCCCCACATAAACAATAATCTCTTATTTTAAATTATGTACTGGGCAAGAAATTTTAACTAAGACTGTCCAACAAGAGCAGAGGTGCCCCATGCCACCCCATTCAATTTACATTGTTACACACTATTTCTAAAAGAACTCCTACCATTACTATGCTGCCATCCATAAATACAACCTTGCCTTTATTCTGCTACTTCTGGACTACACCAAAAGCTTACTGCAGCAGTCCTAGGAGGTTAGACACTGGAGTACAAAACTTTCACAATCAGTATTGTTTCCAGTTCATGTTGGCATCACAATGCAACACACTGTGATCCTTATATTCTTGTACTCATACGTTCAATTACTGACATTATGGCTCAGTATCTTAGAAGGCTCAATGACCTTGTATGCACGTATGGCACGTCTGCATTTCAGTTGTGTTTACTGGCAAGTTTTCAAGCTGCACCATTATACCTTCCAAACCTACCAGTCAAACATTATGTTTAATAAAACTCTTGCATAAACTCAGGAAATATAACTACAGAGCAACTAGAAGAGCCAAGCCCACAACCAAACCCAGTGCCAAACAGGCCTTGCTGCAGTTGGATGTAAAAAGGCAAATGAACCACAGCAAAACCATCTCTGAAGTCTACTCTGATGGTAAACCCATAGCAACACTGCAACAAGAGCCTCCTGTTCTTGGCACTTCATCCTCCAAACAACTCACCCAAGAGCTGAACCTCACACTGTGAATAACTATAAAACCCATCACAAATTTTTTTGGTTTCTCTCACCATTTTTTTCGCTAGTTTGGTTAAAGATTTGCAAGAAAGCAAATCTTGAGCTTTTTAGATATGAGAGAATGAGAGAGGGAAATACAAAGGCAGACTTACATTTTTGTGATTGACACATTTTAAAAGAACAAGCTCTCTGTAAGCTCTTTTTGCGTGGGTTTGATTCTGAAAAGGACGACTCAACTTCTTTACAGCAACATTTATTCCAAGGACTGTATCGAACGCAGCACTGCAAGTTGTCAAAGACAAACAGCTTAAGTTGAAATCTGCTTGGGGGAGAGGCGAGGGAAGAGGGGAGATGGGAACACAGAAAGAAATCAAGATTTGAGGAAATAAATATCAACTAAGCTGCTTACGCTGATTTCATTTTACATTTAGAAAAAAACACATTAAAAGTGAATCTAAACATTCCTTAAAAAACAAAGGTAGGCTGAACAGAAGCCACCAACATTCTTATGAAAAGCCTTCTGTGCCCTCCCCTCCCTCAAATAAGACAGAATCCGCTGACTTGAGACTTTTGCTCAAAATTGAGAGATCTAAAAATACATTAAGCATGTTTTTAAGTAATATTTCAGCCGCCTGTATTTCCAGCTTAGTCTGTACACTTGGGGATTTTTCTGGGCACTGTTGCTGACTGACAGTCATTTAACATTTGCAGTGTTATTTATCTTTCCTAAAGAACAGTCACAACATCTGATCTGTACTGCAGGCATCAGTGCTCTCATCTATGTGGATAGTTTACAACTCAAAGCAATTTTAGTGCTTTGCAGAAAATGAATTGTCTGGTTTCAGCAAAAACAAAAATCAATATGGAAGATTTACACACTGTAGGGAGCAATGCAACAGCTTAAAAATGAAAATGAGCATTAATTTGGTAGCTTTTTTCAGTTTTTCTTTCCCTCTGTAGTTCAAGGTACAGGTGCAAACACTTTAAAAACTGTAAGAATCTAAGGCTAAATTACGTGTATATCCAGAACAAGACTAAGGTTGAAATATTCTTCATTATGAACACACAGGGAATTTGACAAAATACCTGCAAATGCATGGCAAGAACAACACAGGAGTTCCAATCTATTGCCTCTCTTGCTTTAAATAAGAATTCCCAGATGATCTCCATTCAATGCTACTTTCATACGGTAGGAAAGAATTCTCACTCATGTCTTTTCCAAAGCCTTGTGAGCTCCTTCCCTGCCTCATCAGGACCCATACAGATGTGAAGGACCGCCCTATTACAGCACTCTTACAAGAAGTGCAGCTCATCTGCAGCAGCAATACTCACACTGTATGAAGTTTATCAACATCAAATCACTGCCTTCCCTACTGGAAAAGGTACCACCAGCATTTGGCAGGGTTCACCCACAAGATGCTGTTCCCTGGGAGGCACAGTTCAGTGCCCACATTTCAATCACTGCACTGTTCTCATTAAAGGCTTGCTAGTTTTCATTTTCACTCAGTTCTGTGACACATAGAAGTTATTATTCAGGATATGATCACTCTCAGATTTAAAGCTTTTTCATTTAACTATGCAAAACAAAACAAAAAATGGGAGGAAGGGAACCAGTGAGAAACTATTTTCTCTCAGATACGAAAGATGAAAGCTCTGGTGTTTCCAATATTTCATCTAAAAGATATTTTATGTACAATTTTATTTAGATTAATGGCTTTAACAGCACCGTGGTTGTTGGTCTGCACCAGCAAACAACCAGTAACCAACAGGGTACACAATAAACAGCTGCTCAAGCCAGTCGTGAGCAAGACCACTGCAACAGTGGGACAGACATTTTAGGGAAGATACCTGTTTGCAATCTGAGCAACCAGGTATGTGTCAAGACTCCATCCCAGCACATACAAACAACTTCACCTCTACCTTTTTTGTTGGTTTTTTTTGTTTGTTTTTTTTTACTTATCCACATGCGAGTGACTGACACTGCATCTCAATAAAGAATCTGTATTTGGTATCTCTGAAGAACCTCCATGTCTGTCCTCTCCCCAAAAGCAACATCAGTCTGATCACAGTGAATTCTATTAAGGTCTTCAGAGCACTTTTAAAAGGTTGCATCTTGAGACAGCTTTTAATATTAGCAATAAAGACGCCACATGCAGAATGAACTTTTAAACAAAACATCTTGACCTAAATTACAGCAAGAAATCATGCTTCAGTTCTGTAGGCAAAAGACTTTTGCCTCGAACTGCAATGTGCTCCTGCCGTGGATTCCTGCTTCAGCAGCTCCACTTCACTCACTCTTTCCCTCCTGCCCAAACACGGCTTTGCAAACAGCAACAAACTCCTGACTGTTTCTTCAAGTGCAACTGTAGGGAAAATTGTGGACAAAGCAAACTCACACGAGTTTGTAAGATCACAGTTTTGCTATCTTGAAGGACAGAATAAATTTGTTGGGACAGAAAAATCAGATTGACTAATTAAACATCAGAAATCCAGGGCAAGAAAGGAAAATCTGATATCAAGTCTGAAACAAAAACTAGTTCAAGAAAATCCTTTTGTGCAAGCAGTTACTCATTTGTAAATAGATTCTAAGATTTTGAGCATGCTAGAACTTAAGAAGTGTGAAGAGTCACATATAGAAGACACACTTTGTATATAAAATACACAAATAAACTCTACATAAACAACCAAGTTCCTTTTTCATTTTCTAGAGTTCTCATTTTGTATTTCCTTTATGCAACACGCAAACGACACCGAGATTTTCCTAGCCAAAAATGACAGGATAGCACTCATCCTATGGTGAGATTTCTACACTACGTACCCTTACATTTTGCATATTTCCCCGGTGTATTTTAGGGACTTTTACAGAGAAATTTAGAAATTTAGATTTTGCACCTTCTTCAATTTGGACATAGTTTTCAGATGTTTCACATGAAGAAAATTTATGCAATGTTTTACTCCGTTGTTCCAAAAATCAAGTTTTCTCAAAACAAGTCAATAAATCAGATCATCCCTTTCTCCACCCCAGATGCTGACCTTAGCACAACCCCAACTGTTTTGAAGCAATGCCCAGTTTAACTCATGTCATGTAGACATGCACTACTTCCAATGAAAGGAGAAGCAATTTCAACCACCCTAAATTCTTACATACAATCTAGAACCAGCATAACATTAAGAATATTTATACCCAGAACATGTTTGCACTACACTAACACTGACCCAAACACTAATACCAAGATCTGGCATGCCTACCCATTCCTCACTCAACCTACTAAAGAATGAAATACTCATTGCACTCATTTTTTCATCTGTTAGCACTCCTTTCCTAGATATAAAACATTTTTTAAGGTTTTAAAAAAGCCAGAAAGTCATGGGCAGGTGCTGTATAAAGGGTTGCTCACAATATGAGTCATCACACTTATTCTGCAGAATTTATTGGCAGACAGAAACTGCAGACTGGATTTAAAGCATGAACAACCCATCACGCGTTTCTGATTAAGTCTGATATAACAGAGTTCTTAAGTACATCTGTTTGCTTCCTCATGTATGGAACTGTAAAATCGCATCGATAAGATCTGTTGCTGTGACCCAGTAAGTTTTGCCCAACAAAACAAGGGCTGGCAATAAGTGGTGCAGAATAGACTGCTGCAGTCTAAAAAACATTTGAAAGTGTTTACCTTTAGCTGGCCCAGAGGTGTGGTGCCATACAAGAGACTAAGGTTCAGGATCAGACTAACGACTCTCACGTCCTGGGCCAGTGGAGGCTGGACACATAGCTGAGGTGACACAGCAAGGAAGAGACGGCCAGCCCAACCCCTCACAGCATCCCTTCCTGGTTAATCCATGGAGTGACAATGACACTGATTTGCCTCGTCCTGCCAGTTAATGGCAAGGCACTGCATTGATGGCTCCTAGAAATGGACAGGAGTGATTGGGAATAAAAGGGGGGGAAAAAAGGGGGCCATGAAGAAACGAGTAAAACCCAGAATCTCTCACCATCTCATTGTCATACCTTACACTATAATAGCATAACTACATGGGGAAGGTGACAACTAAAAGAAAAATAAAGTGGTTAATGGGAAGGAAATCTGTTGACCCTCTTCATTTATGTTGTTATCCAAATATTACTTTTCCCCTAAAATCAAAACAAAAGCTAGTTTCCCACATGAACTACTGCAGGTAGGTATTTTAGTAACTAGTTCATCATAACCCTGTAGCAAGAGACAAAGCACTCATCGATTTTCATAACATTTGATATCCTGGCACCCCTATCAGGAACACATTCAAATTTTGTTATGCATGTAGAGCTTTTTACGTTTAAATAAAATATTTATTACTCACCAAACAATGCCCTGTGCCCCTGATCCTATGGGCTTCAATTGCTGGTAACGTTTTAGTACAGTGAATGTTGAATCTGCAACTTGAACACTGTAAAACTGACTATCGCATTTACTGTCACTCATGGTGTAGTGTCATGTAGTTTTCTCTCTCAAGAACCTGGTACAGGCTTCAAGACCTGAAAGAAACAAGAAAAATGTTCAATCTGAGTAATTCAAGGCAGACAAGATGGAAAATAGATTATGCATATTTTAACACACATGAATTTTTCAAAAGTATACTATTAAATAAGCATTATTTCAGCTTCACTTACAACTACTGCTAATGAAAAACCCCTGCAGACGAGACAACAAATAATCATACCTTTCCCAGCTGTAAGCAAACATTTCCATTCCAATCCCTAAAACAAAAAGCAGCTAAGTAAACAACTGTGAAAACAAACACCACTACCCTCAGGCAACCCTTGTAGGAGGTCTCCAGGACTCAGAACTTCCCTAACTTTGTGCTCACCACCCACCCTCCTTCCTCCTGTCTTTAATACACATTGACATCCCATGCCACAGTTAGTGTTCTTCAAGTCCTACAAGAATTAAGAGAGTTGGTACTAAAATTTGAAAGAACTGGCCACGTTGTAACAGTAAGCCTTATCCCAAACGCACTACAGTGCTTAAGGACTGTTTTGTTTGTATGTTAACAATCCCCTTTAATGAAGGCAAAAGCAAACTGCAGACAAAAAGCAATTCCATCCAGGAAGTTACACTGCAGTTCACCTCTCTCATTGCCTTGCTCTCACAGCTGCGACTGGACATTCTGAAAGACTGAGTCCAGAGGGCAGCAAGGATCAAGGCCTAGGAGGACAAGTCATCTCATTAACTGGGTTACTTACAGGAAACAGATGAGAGGAGGAAGTGCACAAAAGACCAAAGAAAGAAGGAATGAAATGATGTATGAACGCAATGGATGTGGTGATTAGCAGTGAGTTATGAAGATTCTGATTATGAAGATATGAAGGGAAGGAGGGGAAACAAAGCCCTTTTTGCAAAGGCAGTGCTAGATAAGATTCCCTAAGGAAGTTACAGGCTCTCCCTCACTGGATGTTGGTGCTACACTAAAAACTGTCTGTAATGAATTAGATGTAGGTAATTACACCTGAGATTGAGGTAGTGGACTACACCTCTTCAATTCCAAATCACTACAGTAGCGAGAGCACAGGCCTTGCTTTCCCAGGCATCCGTCTTCCCTCCACGCTTTATGACAATTACCTCAGTGATAACCAAAGATGTCTCTGAAAAACTCTCCAATTTTTAATTTGACATGCATCATGACAGATAGTGCCATTACAGCCCAGACTGAACTGCACAGCCAACAGTTCCCCAAAACAGGAAATGAAAGCAGATCACCTCCCTACAAGCAGCTGGCCCAACCACCCGGCTGTCCTGCATCATTTGTAGCTAAAGAAAGAGCAGTTACTCTCCCTCTTCACCAGTCTACAGAACATTGGCGAGCCCATGCAAAGCAGAAAAGCCTTGACAGCAACCCAGAAGCACATCCTGGAAAGGCACAGAGCTATATGAGTAGCTTCTAGTAGCTTCAGGAATTAGAATATGGGCCTCTCCCTTCCCAGCTGGCAGCAGGATGGATCAGTGTCTTCTCCATGGCCTGGGCACAGGAACACAGGAAACATACAAGGAAAAAAGATGTAAAGCTGCAAATGCTAACGGAGACTAAAGTCAAAATGGTAACAATTAGTCTTAAGGCGTTCTGAAGAAATATCTGGAGTCCTCTTTAATTTCTAGTATCTCAAAATCTAAGCAGCATTTTACAAAGTAAATACTCAATCTGGTCACCTCCAGCAGTTATTTAGACAGTAAGTAGCCCTTCTTCCTTCCTGTCTTTTATCACTCCAGAGCTATAGACACTGATGCACCACAATCTTTGATTAACAACCCCTGAGAAGCCCTGGTATTTTCTGTACATCTCCAAATACTGAAAGACAGACAGAGCTGGAAAGACAAGACTAAGGAAAAGGTCAAGATTCTCTCTCTGAAAAGGGCTTAAAGAGGGGGAAAAAAGTATAGATGTGGATTACACTGGAAATCAAATGAAACATGTTAGTTATGTGGGATCTAAGTTGGTACTTCTTCAGAGGTTAATGAGGATCACTGCTGTTCTGTAAGTGATAAAGAAGCAGAGGAAAAGGAAGTGATCCTGAACTAAAGAAACCTCACTTTAAGAAATCTTGTCTGTACAAAGTCATTACTTGAAAACAGTTTAAAGACCAGGATAAGCTCTTTAGACAAGACCCAGAGAGGGATTTGTGAATCACAACACACAAGCTCTATGTATTCAGACATCCTCTGGAGCCCACTGTGCTGGGCACCCAGCCTACCCCGAGCCCTAGGCAGGACTTAGGTTATTTCAGATATACAAACTGATGTAAAGCTAAATGCCATAAGATTGTAAATATTGACATAATTTAAGGCTCTGAGACTATTTTGAGGCTAAACCCATTGAATAAGAAGGCTGCCCATCACTCAAGAGGGAAAAGTACATCTGACAAGTAAGTTTCTTAAACCTGAGCTTTTACTCTGCTACCCAAGGCAATTTGATTCATCACTCCTCCCAGCAGGTACACAACATGTCCCACACACCTCCCATACAGGAATCTTTTGGAAGTTGGCATTACTTCCATTTCAGAAATACACATTTTCATTCATGGCTTCCTAGCTGCAGCAAACAGGAGCAGAGCCAAACGTGGAAGTCATTCATTCGTGGGACAGCCAGCAAACATACTTCTGCAGATTGATAAGGGCACTCAATCACAGTGTTTCAAGATAGTATTCTATTTTTGAGCATGCATGAGATGCAGATAAATTGGGTGCAGGTTTCTGTGTTTGTTTTAATAACGCGCTTGTAGAATTGAAAAAATTAAAAATTATAAAGCTGATTTTACTCAATGCAAAGAGATCACAAGTGCTTACAGAAGTATTTTCAGCCTCAGTTCATGCAAAGTAAAATAATTAAAAAAAAAAGGAAAGCAGACACACCAAACCCATCTCCAATAAACATACAGAATTGCAGCAGGGAAGTATTTAGGGGGTGAAAGCAACTGCATTACAGTGTACGTACATACTGCACCAGTCACCTCTGCAAAAGGCACCTATTAAAATGGCAACTTATTATTAACCAGAGCCATTCCCTGGATATTTTCCACGTCAAAAGCTTCTGAAGCAAACAGGTTGGAACAGCTGGGAACGTTCCCCGTGCTGTTTTGGATACAGAAATGTTATCACAGTGAACATCAAGAAATTGAACTTCGGGCTAAACTGCACTGCAGACAGAAAGAACCCAGGTGCACACACACACGAAAAGACAGGGAAACCACACAGAACATTCACCTTTACAGACGCGCTCTGCAAATTAACCAATACTCGCTTTATCCGCTCAGCTCTCTGAGAAGCAGCTCGGTCTTTAACCAGCCGAAGCTACCAGCGAGCAGATCTCACCGACAGCCACCAGCCCCGCTGTCATTTTGCTGCTAAACAAACGCTGAAAGCAAACACTGGGCGCACCTCGGCCGGGAGACGGAGGGGAAAAGTTCAAACGCGCATCTGCCGTGCAATGAGTCCGCTGCGAAATGACGGAGCGGCCGTAGAGCCGAGCGAACGCGCTGACGGAATTCCTTCACTCGTGCGGTTTCTGTCGCGGAGCGGCACGGCGCGGCTCCCGCCGGCACCGAGCGCGGCCAGGACGGCGCGGGGCGCCGAGGGCGGGCAGCGGGCGCGGCCGGGCAGGGGCAGCAATGCGGCACGGGAAGGGCGAGGGGCGTAGCGGGGCCGAGAAGAAGGAAGGGGCCCCCGGCTCGGCCCCTCTGCCTCCTCCCCCCACTCCGGAGGGCCGGGCCCGGGGCAGCGACGCGCGGGGAAGCCCGGCCCAGCCCCGGCTGCGCCTCGGCGGGCGGGGCCCGCGGGGAAGAGCCGGGGACTCCTCTCGGCACAGGGCCGGGGGGCTCGGCTCGGCTCGCTCCGGCTCCGGCCTCGCCGCACGCAACGCCCTCCTCGCGGCCTCCCTCACCGTCTCCTCACTCGGTCGGGCTCCAGCGGGACGGGGCGCGGCGCTCGCGAGCCGCGCAGCCACCTCCGCCGCCGCCTCCACCTCCTCCGGCGCGCAGGGCCGCCCCAGCCACAATGGCCTCCCGGTGCTCCGCGCAGGCCGCGCCAGGCCTGAGCGCGCTGACGGGCAGCCGCTCGGACCAATCGCGAGCCCAAGCCGCGAAGCTCAGCCAATAGCGGTCCGGGGGCGGGACAGACCTGGCGCTATATAAGGCAGGGCAGCGGGGAAGGACCGCAGTGGGAGCGGGGAGGTTGAACCAATCCAGGCGCCATCTCCGCCCTCCGGCGTGATGTCATCACCGGACGTCAGATTGTCACCGCACTTCTGACGTCAGCGGTGGCACCAATTGGGACTGCGGGGTGGGACCGTCTCTCCACCACAGCAAAACAGGAGAATTTATTGAAATACACCAGTAACTCTTTATCAAATACACGTGCCACGCACATGTGTTTTTACATGGTGATGTTCTGTTCTTGACTGCTGGAGCACAACAGCCCTCGTGGTGGTGTCAGAGCATTGCGCTGCAATATACAAGTGACTAAGGGGGGAAAAAAGCACCCAAAACAAGAAGCATCCATATAGTATTTTCTTTAATTGCATATCAATTACATTGTACACACTTCAACCAGAAGTACCTTTTAGAAGATACCCTATTTTGGAAGTTCCCTTGTTGCTTTGTTCCCCTATACAAGGCAGGCAGTAAGAACTAGGGCAGTACACAAAACGCTGCTGGGCCTTTCACAGCATTAGCTGAAAGCAGGAGGAAGAGCTGAAAACACAGCTGAGAATTTACAGCCACAGGAACTCTTTGCAAAAGGTGGTGAAATACAAACCAGGTGCAAACTGTAGGAGGAGGGGGGCAGGAAACTGGGAGGAAGAGGACAAGTAATTTCCAGTTTGAGGCTGTAGTAGAAAAAAATCTAAAAAAAACTGTACACAAACTCTCCATGAGTACTGAGCATGTCGACTCATTACCAATGCTATAGTTAAGCAACATACTAAAAAAAATAACTTAAGAAAAGCTATACAATTGTACTTATAAATATTTTATCTTTAAAACTAATTAAGTAGTGTAGGCTAAAAAAAAGTTCACAGTTACTCTGAAGAGAGCTGTATATATATATTGCACAGTAGAAAAGTTCATTCAGTATACCATGTGTAAACAATGATTTTTATCTTATCCTTTGGCAATTTTGGGACTTAGAAATATTTGCTGTGAGCAAAAGCACTTGGGTAACAAGGCACATTGGGAGCTTTTAAAGCTGCAAGAGAAATCCTTCTGACGCTCGCCAGTTATCACTCTCATTCCCTTTGAAAAACATGTACCTATTGATTCAGAACAACACATTTCAATAAGCATAACACAGAGGTCTGGTGACAAAAATATCCACTGCTCTTGGCTGTTATTCTACAGTAACTGATTTGGCCAAATTCCTTGGAAAATCCACCTAGAATGAAAAGACAGGCTTTCAGTGTGTGACAGAACACAACTGGCATTCCACATTTGATAGTTCATTTCTTGTGCTGTTTTGGTTTGGTGTTTTTTGCTTTTTTAGAAAAGAATTCCTACTGAGTTCTGCTTTATTCTGGACACACTAATGCACACAACAGACTATAGATCTGCAGATAACTCACTGTTGAATTCATCATTACCTGCAAAAACCTCCTAACAAATCTTAATATATTGTTTTGCACAGGATGCCTTTCCAATGGGGTCATCATTACCAAAGTGATACACCTAGACAGAGTCAACAAACTAAGCTGTGCAAAGCAATAAACTCTTTGTTAAAGTGCAATATCACACTCCAATGCTTAGTCTTCTGAAAAAATATTATCTGCATTCTTCACTAATCAAACTAAGCAAACAATCTTTACACTTTTTAGAACCATCATCCATACCAATTCAAGAAAAGGCTGAAGAATTGGCAGTGAAATGCCACCTCTACTACCACAATAAGTACCAGTTGTAGCAACTATTATCATAGTTCTTTGTTAGAAATGCCATGTAACCTTACCTCTCCCTTAACATTGGTAGGAGGAAGTTCAAAACTGCTCTAACTGGAATGCTATACATAGAAAGCACTTACATCATATCCTCTGAGAACAGCCAGGTGGAATGAAAGCAACTGGAGAGGAATAACACTCAAGATTCCTTGAAGGCAGTCAACTGTATGAGGCAGCTCAATGGTTTTGTAGGCAAATTTCGAGCTTTCTGTGTCTTCCTTAGAACACAGGATGATTGGCCGACCCTGAAAATAAAGTTCTACAGTTAGGAGCTGGCTTAGAGCTGCTTTGAAATATTAGTTCACAGCATATCTGTACTATGTTTGAAAAAATAACAAAGATAGCTAACCAAGGAAGTGTTATTCCTGCATAATGGGTTCTGTCACTCAGTGAAAACATTCAAGTCTCATGCAACAGTCATTAGAGTTTAACATTATTCTCTTTGATTCAAGATCAAGAAACATCTACACACAATCATTTATCATTACTGGTGTTAAACTGCAAGCTGCGATGCTGCTACAGCACCTTATTTATAACTTTTTAAGCAGAAAAAAATACCCTCACCACATCCTGCCTCTGAAACATGTTTGGCAACAATCCAGCGTGCACATACAACACTGCATTACTTTACAGCTTACCTGTCGAGCTGTGACCTGTTGCAAAGCATTCTGGCACTTGGTGAAGCAAGGATCCTTCATTATGACCATGATAACAGGCATTTGTTTATCTATTAGGGCTAGTGGACCATGTTTAAGCTCACCAGCCAGGATACCTTCAGAGTGCATATACGTGATTTCTTTTATTTTCTAAAAAAACAAATGCAAATACCAGAAAGTTAGAAGTAAGTTAGATTAGAAATAAAAGCTGCAAGAAGCAAAATATCCATCAATTAAATGCAATTGCTATTTTCAAAAATCAGTTAATGACTAGAACAGACATCCCTGTACACTGGGATTTCCAGCAGGCTGCTGGTAGAAATGGAGCTTGCTCTGCCTTTGCAGAGAATGACATGGAGTGATCAACAGGAATTTTTAAGAGCTTAACATCTAGCACCACATTTCTAACTTCTATGAGAGATGGATATAGCTCCATTACATGAGGATATCTGTAATTAATTTAGCAGTTTCCTACATGAACACCTTGCCTAAACACCGGCATACTGAACGGTGTTTTAGGAGGACATTTTTGAAACAGGCCAGCATTTTAAGTGGTATAAGTTGTAGGGCTTTTTCATTTTCTTTTTCCAAATACACTTAAGCGTATTTAAGAATGACACCAAATTCACCTTATGTATGTGTTCAGTCCCACAGGATTAAACGTTCTAATTATACATGGCAGCAGTTTTACAACGGCAGAATTAAACTGTAAATAAGCATGAGAAAAAGTGCTGCAGAAACAAAAGCTCATTTCAAGTAGTATCCAATGACTTTGAGAGATTCCTACCAGAGCTCCTTCCAGACAGGTGGCATAATTATATCCACGACCCATAACCAGTAGTGACCTTTGTTTGTACAGCTCAAGAGCCAAGTCATGTATCTTCTCATCCAACGACAAGACTTCTTTAATCATCTCTATTGGATCACATTAAAAGCACATATAAAAATCTCCATCAACTGGAAAAAAAGTATTTCCTAGGTTTTTGTACTATGATACTCTAATGATTTTTTATAACAAATATACTTAACATAATTCAGGTGTTAACTTTCTATATCTGCAATTTTGATAGTGCTTTGAACATGCTTTGTCCAGTCTTATGTACAGTAACAAATTTAAGATGACCATTAGCTTAAGCAGAGTTGACGCATCCCATCTGAAATACTAAAGGAAGTTCTGAACATCTGTTTTAAAGTCAGTTTGGATTAGTTTTGTTTCATCTATACTGGTTTAAAGTGAAAGGCATTACAAATTTTAGATCATCTGTGCTGGAGATCAAGGAATAAGTCTCAAAGCTATCCTACTGTAATTCTGATCTTCCTGCCAAGTTTTTTGGAAGTGTATTTGTAAAACTGACAATTAGCATAGAAGCTAATAGCCTATTTTTCTTATATTATCTACCTTTCAGGGAGAAAGAAAGAGAGAAACTTAAATATTTTTAAAAGGTTTTTTTGAGTAGTATTTTACATTTCTATATTATCCGTTAAACAAGATCTCCTCAAACCCAAAATAAATATTAATATACCTGGCAATGATTTTAGTCCACTAATGATTTCCCTTCTCCTCTTCTGCAAAGAAATTCTGTCTTCAGACATCATGAGGCCGAACATTACAAGAGACACAAATTGGCTGGTATAAGCCTGCAGACAGAACAGAACGTTTAGCAGCCAAGCATGAAGTGAGTCAGTATGATCTCAACCTGAAGTGTACAATTAAAACTATAATTGGATTACATAGTAAAGTATAAAAATCGAACACCAAACAGCTCTTACCTTTGTGCTTGCCACACCTATCT